CCAAAGTGCACCCAACTCTGTCATTGATATAAGCACCATCTCTATTTTAAGACAAACCCGAGCTCAAAGCGGGGCCCCAGTGCAGTGTAGATGGTCTGTCTCTTATACACATCTAGATGTGTATAAGAGACAGATACAGTTGTCGCCTTTCCCTTTTGACTTGCACAAACTTTATCACATATCCAGTCCATATGATAATTTCATAGCTACATAAAATTTGCATGAAAGGGTAAAAAAATTATTTCCATCTTTATATATACCTTTCAGCCAGAAAGACTGATAAATACTGCCTGAAGATAAATTAAACATTGGCATGGAATATAATTTATGAAAATTGTGAAACACTTGACTTGATTCCACCAAAAAATATATTAGATTTTGATGACGAGCAACCTTCCTCAGAAGTCACCCATCAAAATGTGATGTTTAAATACAATTAAAACAGAAATATAAATTTTAAAAATATTTTAATAGTGAATCATATCACGTATATGGGTTATTAATTGAGCAAATGACTTGAAATCACAAAACTGTTTTAATCATTTATATCTCTGGGGAACATGACAGATGAAGAAAGAAATATGGTTCCTATTGAGAAGAAAGAATATTACATCCTCACATTCTATTACTTATTTTCTTTTAGCTGGTGTTATTTTAGTGACTGCTTTCCTCAGAGTTAAAAGTTGCACAAACCTCAATTTAAAGGAAGCAAATAGGAAACTTCCATTGAGTGTTGATGGCATTTCATCACTAGCAATAAAGCTATGTAGTGTGGGAGCTGGCAAAAAAATAAATAAACAAAAAAGGAAACGGAGTTAAATCTGGGTAGACTGACAAATTCTGTTACTTATTTACATCACTGTTCTAAACATCTGAACTGCGAGTTTTATATAAAAACACACTCTTGGTTTTGGTAGTATTGACAATATTTCTTAACTTTCAGAGCTTGATTTTGTATTTTAAAGCTTTACGAGCCCTCCTCAACCTATGCTAATTTTTTTAACTACAGCTATAAGGATGACCTTATATTAGTTTCTTTCTCTTATCTGTCTGTCTCTCTCTCTCTCTCTCTCACACACACACACACACACACACACACACACTCCCGTATGTTTAGCAAAATGTTAGAATTATGACAAGGGAAACAAAATGCCAACTTAAATGTAGTTAAGGCACAAGCACTGAAGAGAGACTTCCCAAACCCCATGCTGTCTTCTCTGTGAAACATGCACACACACACCAGAGGATTATGAACTCCTTGAAAAGCAGTGGTAGTGCTCAATTCATCTTTCATTCCCAGTAACAAGATACCTGACCAGTTGTAGATACTCAGTGACTATTAGCGGAATGAAAGAAGTGAGGAATGACTAAAGAAGGATGTCCGGATGTTTCCAGGCGCACACCAGTGGCAGCTGCCAGTTCAGATGAACAACCTGTGGCAGGTTGATCTCCAGTGCTATGAGTTCAGGTAGTATCGAAGAGGCCCCTGATTTAGAAAGGGATCATTCCTCTCCCAACCATGTTATTGATAACAAAAACACCTTTGAAATAGCTCAACTGTCTCATTGCATGGATATCAATAGTTACCAGGAGTGGGGTAGCACTTGGAAGGGCGGCCCATGACTTACAGTCTACACCCACTAAGGTGTAAAGAGGTGACATGTCCTGTCCCTTAGAGTAGATTTATATTACAATGATGGGTCCCTGGACATCTGAAGACAATATTACCAAAAGAAAATGTACAGAATCTGGACAACCTCAGTATTTGCTAAAGGTTAGCATCATCTTAACTTGATGTAGCTAATGAAGCCAGAGAAAAAAGAATATATAGAATGAAATTCACGATTAGAAATGATTTATGACATTTCGATCATATCCCAGATCTAAAATAAAAGAGAAATTTTTCTTGGGCGTGGTCACACAGTGATATTGTAGGGGTTTAGCACAAAGGGAGCCTTAAGATGTCCCCTACCTACAAACAACTGGCTGTTCAGCTGCAGTCGAAAATGGCCCTCCTCTGATGTCTCCCGGGTGCTCCTTGGAAGGTTGTCCACCTGAAGGGAGGTCTCCTTGAGGTTCCTCTCAGCCCGGACATAGTGCCATTGGTTGTCATTCAGAAGAGAAGGAGACTGGACCACAAGCTCTACAGGACCATTCCCAACATCGATGGCAAAGGTGATCTCTGAAGGAGCTGAAACCAGAGAGGAAAACGGGAAGAAGGATAGAGGGAGTTGTTAGCACGTTCAAGGCACAGGTTTGAGTGGGAGAAACGATTGTAAGTCAATATCAATGTAGAGAAGACTTATTTTGAAATCCCTGTAGCACTGAAATCACCATTAATGGTAACAACTACCAAATTAAATGTGTATACTTGTTCCAAGCTGTTTTCATTCCTGCTACTTATGTAAATTCAGGAAACAGGATAGGCACCTGGACCATTCATGCTGATCTGATAAACCTGCATGAATGCCGAGGCCCTGGATTTTTCTGGATCTGTTGTGGCTTCAGCTGCGTCCTCCAGGATATCTGCAGACATGAGGTTAGCTAGGCAGCTCCACTCCCGCAGGGAGGAGACTTATGCCCTAGGAAGTCCAGCGCTTCCTCCTTATTTTATTAATGCACATTATATAAGCATTTGTGCTATTTCCATAATGAAAAAAGCTCAGAAAGTTGTATTGCCTTGTCCAAGGAGACACTGCTGCAGGTGGCAGTGCCTGCAATCAAACCCAAGTCTCCTGTTGTCACACGGGACTCCTTCCATTATTCTTTCTGCCCCTCTGTAACAATCTTTGTATAATGGAAGCCAGATGGCAGCCAGTCGGAAGTAAGCATATTGATGACAGTGAAATGACAATGGTGATGACAGCAGTTATGGTGGTGGTGGTAGTGCTTGGCAGTGGTGGTGGTATTGATGGTGGTGGTGAACATAACGTTAATGATGATGGCGGTGGTGGTGGTGATGGGGGTGGTGGTGATGGAGGTGATGATGATGGTGATGGTGGCAGCAGTGATGATGATGGCGGTGGTGGTGGGATAATGATTGTGGTGATGGTGGCGGTGATGGAGGTGATGGAGATAGTGATAGTGGCAGTGCTGGTGGTGGTAATGGTGATGGTAGTGATGGTGGTAGTAGTGATGGTGTCATCATTGGTGGTGGTGATAATGGTCATGGTGGTAGTGGTGATGGTGATGGAGGTAATGGTGACGGTGATGGTGGTGGTGGTGGGATACTGGTTGTGGTGATAGTGGTGGTGGTGATGGAGGTGATGGAGATAGTGATAGTGGCAGTGCTGGTGGTGGTAATGGTGATGGTAGTGATGGTGGTGGTAGTGATGGTGTCATCATTGTTGGTGGTGGTGATAATGGTCATGGTAGTAGTGGTGATGGTGGTGATGGAGGTAATGGTGACGGTGATGGTAATAGTGATACTGGCAGTGCTGGTGGTGGTAATGGTGATGGTAGTAATGGTTCTGGCAGTGGTGGTGATGATAGTGGTGGTGGTAGTGGTGGTGGTGGCGATGGTGGTGGTAATCGTGATGGTGGTAATGGTGGTGGTGATGGTGGTGATGAAGGTGATGATGATGGTGCCAATGATGGTCGTGGTGATGATAGTGGCAATGGTGGATAACCATTAAGAGAGAGAACTGGAAGGGGTAGCACAGTGGGAACAATGAACTCTATGCCAGGCACTATGCTAAGCATTGACCATGGATTATCTCATTTTAATACACAAAACCACCCTATGAGAAATGTAGCATTATTCTCATTTTATGAGAGAGAAAACTAAAGTGCACAGAAATATAAATAATTTGTTGGAAGTGTCCTAGGTGGTAAGTAGAATCTGACTCCAAAGGCAGGGTTCTTCACGATTTTGCTTTATTGAGTATATTGTCTTGTGTTTTCCATTATCACATAAGAATGTTCTAAATTTAAAGGAAATGGAGAGGTTAATTCTAATTTACAAATTGAGGATGAGGATAGGACTGGAACTTTCATATGCCAGGCATTCTTTTTTTTCTAGGCACCTTCACAATTGCTCCCTCTCCTCTACCCCCTAAAATAGGAAATGGGTATTTATTTGACAAAGTCATCAACTACCAGATTTAAATTATCACAAATGCCAAAAGACAGACTCCACCCCAGAGCACTTTCTTCCCAGCCTTTAAACCTTAACCAAAAGCAACCCGCGTCAAAGTCCCCATTACACATAATTTTGATTATCTGAGAGCTTGAATTCTTTTGCTTTCTGGTGAGCCCTGGCCTAAAGGAGAGTAAGGTGGAAGCAGTAAGAATGGGATTTGAGAGCTTAGGTTCTGGAGCTACTGTGACCTAAGGCAAGTTTTCAATGTTACCATGCCTCAATTTTCTTGTCTGCAAAATGGGAATAAGAACAGTACTTAAATCATCAGGTTATTTAGACATGAATCCTGATAAAGTTAACTGTGCCTGGCACATACTGCATGTTCAAGAAGTGATAGCTGTTGTTATTATTACTGTGACCTGTGATTTTTCAACTTAGGCAAATTGGCTTCAGGTTACAAATCCATGCCTTAAAGGAAACAAAATTGAAGGGAACAGATTGAGTGACGAGCAGTTAGACTAAATAAGAGTGAAGGTGGCCCCTTGAGTCTTTCCCTGTTTCTTATTCAGATCACCAGTGCCACCTGGCAGCCCTGCATATCTCAAAATTTAAAAACACTTAACTGAGAGATGACTGGACTCCACAATTACATTTTTCTATAAAACACAGAATAAGATTGGTGAGAATTTGGGTGAGGAATGTTAAAGATTTTACTAAAAGCTTTCCTGCAAGGCTAGTCTTGTGGATAATAAATTCCACTGAGACAACACATGTTTGTGGAGGGCTTGCTGCTTCGCTGTGACTAGCCTTGCCCCCTGACCACCACCTCCATAATCGGTTTCCCATCTGTGCTTACCTCTTCTCCAAACTGCAGCCCCCTGCTGTATAATAATCTGTTTACTGTCTCCCCCGAGTCTGCAACTCTAGAAGAACACCTCATTTATCGTATACCCAGCACCTAGCACTGTGCCTTGTATACAGGAAGTTCTCATTTTATTCCTTGAAACATCATTACATTGCACATACTAAATGCAATTCTGCAATTTTCTTTATACTTTTACAGTTTTATACCAAGGTATTAGGGTCCTTGCAGAGTCTTTAAAATTATTATTATTATTATTGTTATTATTTTTTTTTTTTTTTTTTTTTTTTTTTTTTTTTTTTTTTTTTTTTTTTTTTTTTGAGATGGAGTCTAGGTCTGTTGCCCAGGCTGGAGTGCAGTGGCGCAATCTCGGCTCACTGCAAGCTCCACCTCCCAAGTTCACGCCATTCTCCTGCCTCAGCCTCCCAAGTAGCTGGGACTACAGGCGCCCACCACAATGCCTGGCTAATTTTTTGTATTTTTGGTAGAGACAGGGTTTCATCACGTTAGCCAGGATGGTCTCGATCTCCTGACCTTGTGATCCGCCTGCCTCGGCCTCCCAAAGTGCTGGGATTACAGGCGTGAGCCACCACGCCCAGCTTAAAATTATTATTATTTAACTTTATTAAAGCAACTATTAAAGACTTACTATGTTTAAGCCATTCCTCCTAGAATCAGTAAAATTCAATAAAAACTGTTAATATTTACTGAGTACTTACTGTGAGCCAAGTACCTTGCTACTCGTTTTTCATTAATCAACTCACTAAGCCTTGCTACAACTTTATGAGACAGGAATCTTTTACAGGTGAGGGAAGTGAGGTACAGGTAGCTAAGGAAGCTGACCCAGTGCGGGTGGCGCAGAGTCTGGATGTGAATCCAGGTGGTGCTTCCCAGGGCTCAATTTTTAAATCATTATTCCTATGATAAAACCTCCACACCTGGAAACCTGTGCAGTTGCCCTGGGTAGTCAAAGCTAGAATGGATGATAAAGATGCCTGAAAACAAGGTAAGAGAATGGATGATCCATCCCACTTTGGCCAGTGCCTTTATAACAGGGCCCTTAAGGCAAATTCAAGTTGGCTCTCCGTTGCTGAAGAGGTAGACATAGCCCACTGGCCCTGAATAGGAAGGGAGAAGACCCATGAGAGCATTAGCTCTATCGTGAACTTACCCTCTAAGCTCAACCTCCCCCAGCCTTCTGACAAACGCCTTCTCTCACCAGCTACTTCTTTATGGTTCAAGGCAAAGCTAAGGAGTCTCCTCAGTCTTTCAGGGCATGTTTATCAAGCCAGGCCCTGCGCTAGGCACTGAGAATTCTGAGACAAATGAAACAAGATGAGTTCGCGATTTACTTTTGAGAAGACTGATAAAGAAAAGAGAGGGCATGTTTAGGGCTGTTACAGAGTTTCTACCGAGTGCTCCTAGGAGATGGGAAGAAGCTGCTAAGAAGACACCTGTATGTTCTTCCAGGAGTGACCACCAAGCCCATTAGAGAATATCCTTAGGACACACTCTACACGTCTCCTCCCAGCACTCAATCCTGGGCTCTGTGAAGACAGAACCACACTCCATTCTGTGTCCTCAATCCCCACCCCAGATCAGCATGAGAGATATTTCAGAGTCCATTTATGGAATGAATAATTTGTAAGGCCTTAATATAGCGAGCTAATCTCTCTGTCCTTCCAGGTGTCCATGTTTAAAATGAGAAATATGAACTAAATAAAATACTGTTAAAATTTTCAGGGACATAATCTCTTTAAGGGTCTGATGGCAGCCACAGTTTCTAACTCTAGAAACATAGCACCTGTGGTATTGCACAAAATTGCAGGGGCTTCCTCTATGTCCTGTGCCTCAAAATCTGGAGGTAAATAATTGTACGTTCTCTTGAGTTCTAACATTGTCAATCCTGCGGACCCGTGCAAAGCAGAGTTGGGGGGTGCTGTAAGGAGCCAGACAGAGCTGGGTAGGTCCTGGATTCTAACCTTCCCAGCTGAGTAATCAGGGCTTGCCGCTTGCCCTCTCTAGGCTCATCCTGCCTATCGGTGCACTGTGCAGTGGTAATCACAGTACAACATAGGGATCGGCATCGATGGGAGTGCTTGGAAACAAAATGAAATCAGGAATGTAAAGAATTGTGCAGTGTCTAATCAGAATAATTGCTCAACAATTCAACAAAAGTGTAATTATGAATAGTATTCATTTGTACTATTCTCTTAAGTTCTAACTATAGTGTGTCAAGTTAACATCACATTTGGTAATATTCTCAGTATAATACTTCTGAAATCATAAAGTTAAATCTTTCTCGTTCTCTTTGTGTGTATATATGTATCTATACAGTATACACACATATTTATAGAGTATATATATACATACACATACATATACATATATACACACACACATACATACAGTATATATATGTATCGTTTTTCCCATGAGCAGCTCAGGAAATTTCTGGTTTTGTTTCCTTTCAAGGCATTTTTAAAAATAAATTACACATTTCAATTCTGACAACTGCCTTAGAAGAATCCTCATTGATTGTCTCCCTAGCGACTACCTTCTTTCTAACAATACTGAGTTTGCTTTGGGAAACTCTTCCCTCTCTCACTTTCCCATGGGCTTTAGGGGAAGCTAGCCCAGTCTCTGGTGTGGGGGTCGGCCCTGGTATAAGTCAATCTGCAATCTATACGTTCCCGGCCACACACGTTGGTTCTTGGGGGCCAAGTGAGTGACCTCTCAGGAGGATTGCTTGTAGGGCTGGAAAGCAGGGATTCTCCACCAGCTGGCATGCAGCTCCACCATGAGGGAGTGCCAGCCTTAGACCAAAGCAGACATTCAACATTCATAACCGAGAGAGAAAACCATGAGACGACTGATAACTTTGTTAAACTACTGCAAACAACCATAAATAAAGCCAGTCCTACCTCCTCTGGGCTTCGTCACATGCTCCAGCACCAGTGAATTTCCATTCTTGTGGCTGCCGGTTCAGATTGGGTTTTTTGTTATTTGCAGCCAAAGGCATCTCTGGGTGGCATGTGGATGTCACCAACCCCATGTTGCATAAATAAGCATAGGAAGGGAGAAGAACTTGCTCAAGGCAGCTCACAAACCCACTTGGAAGAACAAAAGTTTGAATCCACATTGGGTTCTAGTCTAGCTTCTTTCCACTATGCCAGACTGACTCTCAAAAGCCATTTCCTTCTGATCTTCTCATCTACTCTAAAATATCAATTTCTACCTGTACAGCCATTGTGAGATAAGTATCAAAACAGTTATTGTTTCCACAGGCCCACTAAAACACATTCACTAAGACTTGCCAACATAGTGGCACATCTTCTTTTTCATAGAGTATGGACTACAAAATTCAAATATCTTTGAAAGCAGGCTGGAAGGAAATGGATTGAAAATTTCATGGAAATCTACTGTTCCCTGTCCAACAATTTGGATATATCAACCTTGGAAACTGCTGCTCGGATAGTTTTAGAGGAACACTCCTTGGGGATGGGAGGGAAATCTATTCTGAGCAACTGCATCTGTTAAAAGGCCATTTCCTTTCCAAGTGCCTGGTCTGTGGATGTGTCTTGCTATGAACCCTTTAGGGTAAAAATTCCATCTGCCTAAAATGCGTAATACGAGTGTCGCTGAAAATAAAGAATGCAAGATGTTTCCGCCCCACTTTGGTCTTTTCCCCTTTTAAATATTAATAATAACAAATATTTTGAGAACTATCAGATCTTGAACTTCTCAATGTTTTTATATAAAATCTTGTCTTGGAAGGTATATGTTCTCCAATCTGGTGATATATTATACACCAAACAATTACCTCAGTGGGTTTTGATTTTTGTCAAATGTAATTCTAACCTGCGCTAAAAACAATCTTGCATAAGCCAAAGGGAAAAATACAGTAGCACAAAGTACAGACAAATTGGACATTGATATGTAACTAACACTAAATCATCGGTCATTACCTTGTAATAACATACCATGATGTTTGCTGCTGTTTTAATGAATCAAAAGTCCATGGGACCTAATTTTTATTAAATTTACATTGAAGTTATTATATCCAAATTATGAAATTGTTGGCATTCAACTCAACATTTTTAGAGACTGGTCATGTTAGGTGTGAGGGATCTTGTTTCACACCAAAGCCACAAGAGCTTCCTCCCATTAATAGTCTCAATAGTTGGAGTAAAAGGAGATTAAAACTACCAGTTAAGAAGATCTTTTTCCTTGTACGTATTGTGCGGTAACTGCAAAAGAAACACTTAGCTGCTTGGTAATTTGCAGGAGACTTAAACACCTCTGCCATCTCCTCCAGTCATTTTTTTTTTTTCTCCTTTTCTGGAGCTCTCAAATTTCCAATTTCTGTTGTGAAGACATTACTTATACTTTCAAGGGTATTTCGTACAGTCACATCATTATAGTCATATGGTCAATGGCCTCAATCAAACTACAGGAAAACATTCATTTAGACACACATACATAGGGCATCTAATGACAAGCCTGAGTCTTTATGTTCACAGGAATAACATAGGCAAGGTGCTGGCTATAGCCTACCCTGTATATAAGTAATAAAAAGTGCACTCAGTGCAGAGAACCTAAAACAATAGCAAAAGTCACTAAAAATACATCTTTTTAAAAATTACTACCATACACAAGTAATTCTAAACAATGTTAGTGATAAAACATTCCTTCACCAAATAAATCGTTTGTTGGTCTGTTTCAATAGATGCTGAAGCTACTGTTATTTTATTTATTTATTTATTTATTTATTTATTTATTTATTTTTCTGAGACAAAGTTTCACTCTTGTCACCCAGGCTGGGGTGCAGTAGTGCAATCTCGGCTTACTGCAACCTCTGCCTCTGGGGTTCAAGTGTTTCTCCTGCGTCAGCCTCCCGAGCAGCTGGGATTAGAGGCACCTGCCACCACACCCGGATAATTTTTGTATTTTTAGTGGAGACAGGGTTTCACCATGTTGGGCAGGCTGGTCTCGAACTCGTGACCTCAAGCAATCCTCCTGCCTAGGCCTCCCGAAGTGCCAGGATTACAGGTGTGAGCCACCGCACCTGGACTTGAGTTCTTACTCTTAAAAATAAACAAATGTATTTTGTTCATATAACGCTACTGTTAATTTTTAACAATTTATGTATAAACTTCAAAGTAGTATGTTTTATCTCTTTCCACTTAATAAATATTATATTCTGAGGGAAAGTTAATACAGAGAACTCTAGATTTACCATTGTCTCCTAAAAATACAGACTCAAATATATTTGTTTATTTTTAAGAATAAGAACTCAAGTTCTCATTTTTCATCTGTATAATTACTGTGCTAGCATTGTTTAACTCAAATCTAATGTTCAATACATGAACACATGGAACCACAGAGCTTTGAGACAAAATTTGCACCCTATTAGGACCCAAGCAATTTCAAATTCTTAGGAATATGGTAACTTTTTACCTAATAAAATAGAAATTTATGATGAATTTTCTGTCAAAATTATTTTAGTGGAATTTTTTTGCTTGCAGAGACATTTGGAAGTTTCTAGAATCAATCCTGAAGTAACAACATTGACAGTACTAGAATTTACAGAATTTAGTATAAAATGAAATTTTTATGAATTTTTAACAAATATATTATGAAGTTTAAAATCTTATTTGTATAGCTCTTGCTTCATATGAAACAAACTAAAATTAATAGCAAGTATCATTTTCTCAATATGAGATAAATGGACATGAGCATACTCTCTTTTGAACATGAACATAAGAAAATACTTAAATTTTATGAAGTCACTGTCAAATTTCAAGAAGTAGAGACTCAGAAACATAAATTTTAATGTTACTAGGATCGCAACAGAGCGATATGTACGTATGCTTTCTCCCTTTTTATTAAAAATATGACTTTGTGTAATTTTTTAAAATTGTATTTTATTGGTATTGGAATATTGTTTCATTAGTATGATTATATACAAAATGTTTAAATACAGGAAATTTCACCATCTGTATTCCTATCATTTTTCATTGCATGTCATGATTATTACTGAATATAGTTTATATGCACGGTATGCAGACTAAAAGGTGATCCACGTCCTGGCATCGAGTTTATTAGGTACGCCACTGTTCATGGGGAAGTGATAGAGAAACCATGACAATTCTGATTGGATAGTCACAGGCTCCTAGGGTGGGAAATAAGTCAGGAAATTACATTTGGAACAAAGGTAAAACAAAAAGTAGACTCCAAATATGAATAGAATGCATAATAATCCTCTTTTCAGCTTTGCATGGAAAGTGTCATGAAAAAAGTCCTGTAGTGTGGAAGATTAAAGTCAGGTAAGAAATATCTTTGGAAACTGTAATAGGTGTCTGTGGGAATTTTCGGAATGCCCATGTTTTGATGAGAGGATGACTGATTAAATACTGACAGGTCATAATAAATCATAAAGCATCAGAAGAAACTAGACATTATTCCTGCTAATTTTACAGATGTCCAGTGAGATTAATTTGCTGGTACAAATGCCCACTAGCGATTGGTGGCAAAAACAAGACTAAAACTTGTTTGTTCATCAGTTACATTAAATTCATAATTGAGGGCACTTACAGCTTATTTCGAGTCGAATGAAGTCTTTAATGCCAAGATTTTCTAGGAAAACTCCGGATAATGCTGTGGTTTTAAAAAAGAAGGAAATATCGGCACTGAATTCCGCATGGAAGGTAGGAAAGTGGAGGTAAGAGGCTTCTGTGTAAAATGAGACGGCGTTCCAGAAGCGTCCTGCAAATGAGAAAATCCTTCAACATGGTTTATCGTTTTCAATGGGGTAGGGGAAAGCACTGGGTATGTGGGTAATTTTCAACACTAGGGCACACTGCAGGGAAAAGGGATAAGGGAGTAAAAACATCTTGTGCTCATGTAATGCAGAGAGAAAGCTTCTTTCGATTAGTACTCACGGTCACCATAGCAACGCAAGGGACCAATTCTCCAAGCAGCTTCTGAGTTTGATCTGTCGGTATCAGTGATAACTATCTGAGTGACAGGCAAGTGGTCTTTGAAGGAAAGAAAGCCAGTATCATTTGTCCTGCAAAACATAAATTTAAGAAAAAAAGAGGACAAAATGTGGATCATCTAGGGACTCTTTTCCATGACCCCTCTTTTCAGAAGTGATTTGGGCAGTTGCAGCAGGGAAGGGGAAGAGAGGGGGAAAACAGAAGGCCTTTCATCGCCTAAGTGTGTGTGAAGGAAAGGAATGTGAATTACAAAACCCATGGCTGGCTTCCAAAAACAAGTGAATTTTCCATCTTCCCCGCGTGTGCTTGTAGAAATGGATAGTTTACAAAGATTGCTGCTGCTTTTGGTGGCTAAGAGCAGACCACCTGCTCAAAGTGTGCTAATGTGCCATTAAACCTCACCTCTCATTCCCATAAAGAGATCGGCTATCTCAGCAACTAACTTGAAACAGCCATCACAAATTCCACTCAAAAATCACTCCAAGGACTTGTTTCAGCCACCTGCCGACAGGTTTTAGTCAACTTTATCTATTTTTTACCACCCTTTAACTCGAGGTGCTTTACAGTTACTGCTTCCTTGCTTTTCATTTTGTTCTTAAACATCTTGGTAGTTAATGACTCTGACTTTGTTTTTGTTAACCATGCAAATAAAATATTGACTAATCATCTTTGGATAAAGTTCAGAAAGAATAGGATAAGCCATTGGAAATGTTTTCCCCTTTTGTTGACGGTGGTGTTTTTGGACTCATGGTAAGGGCCACATCATTTGGCTGAGAAGGGAAAATTGGATGTAGGAAACTAGCATTGAACGTACAACTGTTCTGAGGCAGTTATACTAGGGGATAGGTACTTCCCCCCCCCCCAAAAAAAATACTATGCCTTAGGTGTCATTATGCCCACTTACCAATGAGGAAACTGAGGCTGAGAGATATTAGATAGCTAGCCTAAGGTCATACCTCACACCACAGAAGAGGCAGGGACAACGTCACATTCTTGGTATCCCCAGGATCTACCCCAGGTCTTTAAGGACATAGTTTTAGAAGCATACAAATGTGTTCTGGAATCTCAGTCCCCAGGTCCTAGCTATGTTAGACTGGGCAAATAATTTCATTTCTGAGATATTTAGTGTGCTCAATTTTAAAATGGAGATAACATCTACATCACAATGACTGATGGGTTTAAAAGAGATTATGTAGTCACTTAGCATGCTATGGTAAATGCTCAAAAATGGTGGCAGTGACACTTATTTTAGTTCTCTTCTTTGTTCCTGAACTACTCTGTGGCCCCAGGCAAGTCAATTCATCTTTTTATGCATCCACCTATGATTCTGCATTGGGGAGCTTATATGACACAGCACATGTAGAAAATTAAATTTTCAGATTTATTATCCAACTCATGAAAATGGAGAAAAACATATTAATTCATCTTAATTATGAATAAGTCAAATATTCACCTGTACACATGTTCCTACAGATCTATCAAATGGAAAATGTAAAGAAATGTACTGTACAATATCTACAATTCGAATACCTGTACTTAGAGGCCATTCAAAGGATATAGAATAAGGCTTTTGTCTCAGCTTGAAAGTACATCTATGAATGCTGCATAGACACAGGGATGAAGTTCAATCTCCACATTCCAATATCTTTTCAGGCAGAGATTTCAAAGCAAATGCCAAACAGCCGAAGTGGAATGAAGACCAAGCCCAAATCCTCTCCTGAAGAAATTCTGTACTGCTATAGCATTGTATGCCTCTCCATTTCCATTTTCAAGGTGAAAATAGTAGTTTCTAAAGTCTGCCCATCAATGCCAGCGACTGCCTTTCCTATACACTCTGGCATCTTGTCTACAAAAATTTGATGTTTTTGTGTCAAAGTGTTGAGATCTAAAAATAGCACTCTAAGAATAAAATTCTCTTCCAAATAACAGAGGAAAAAAAATCATATTTAGTTTGATGATGCAAGGCACATTACTAAGAATACTTTTTACCTGAAAACTTAAAGTAAATTTCTCTCTAAAGCTATTTAATGCAACAGAAACAGATACAAATTTAAATGCCTACAGGGGCCAAGCAGATCGAAATGTATGTGAATCCAGCTTTGTGTTAGTAACAAATGGAAATTGACACACAATCTCAGTGTCAGGGGGAAAGAGAGATAAGTATAAAGTAGGCGTTCCAACTAAAGCAGGCCTGTAGTACTCATTAGCAACAGGAAATTATGCCATTCTGTAATATGAGACCAAAGAGCCAGGCTAGAATATTAATGTAAAAATTTTCAGCTTTTGAATATTGGCAATGAAATTTAAATTTCTTTAAAAAATTACAGTGGGAATCCACATTGACTGGACCAATAAACTGCATGTGAAGGCTGTGTTGAGCCTATAGGCAATGGAGCCATCAAAGGGAATTTGCATATTTATTCCTGCGTTTAAGGTCATATTAGGAATATGATTGGATTTAATTAAATTTGTGAATGACAGGTATGATTCCAACATTTCAAAACAATGGGTAGGACAATTGGTGGTGAGGGTAGTGGTGATTGTCATGGTGGGTTTTAGTCACAATAAAATGATGCAAATGATGGTGGTACCTATTGATAGGCAAGGAGTCTACAGCTGTAGATTTGCTTTCTTCATGCCAAGGGTAAGAACTCTGCAAACTTTCACTTCCTTTGGAGCAATGCACAAGGCCCTTCCTAAGTATAGTTGAGAGATGACTGTTTTGTATGTAGTAGGAAAACCTGTCACAGGGACCAGACGACATGAGTTGAATCCGTGCACCCCAACACCCTAGTTGTATAACATCAGTGAGGTCACTCTGGGGCTCAGTTTTCTTATGTTTTAAATGGTTATAATAATAATAATACTACTAACAATTTGATATTTTTATATCAATCAAAGGGGATAATATATATAAAACAATGAACACACCAACTTGCACATAGTAGAGATTCAATACATAGTTATGGAAATTCTCATTGAAGTTTGAAATACAAACACAACATACAAAGAATATATAAAAGGAGAATAAGAAACGGCACCCCACAACCAGAATGCATGAACAGAGCGGCCAGACATTCTCATGTATGGCGCCTATAAGGGCACATGGAATAGGCATATGATCCTTAAAAAACATGTTAGTATGACCTAAAAAATAATAAAACACATGCGGCAAGAAAAAAACTTATTCTCAAGAGCAAGGGTATGGTACAGAATTAGTCAATGTGGTTTCTCTAAGTTTAAATATCTGAATCTTGGTATTTCACCAAATTTAGAGTGGCAGAGTGATGGGGGGATATCATTCAAGTCTGATGAAATGTCACAGACTGCCATTCATTTTCATCAACCAATTTTGGTTAACTGCTGCTTGGTAAGTTTATTTTAGTATATAATTTGGGTGACTTAACTATTAAAAAATACAATGGGTTTTTTTTTCCCTCTTTTGTGTCCTTTCCTCTTTCAGTCACTTGGAAGTAGCAAATAAAATGTTATATATGGTAGACAAACAGAAAATTACAGGAAGAATTCAAGAACTCAGCTCCCTCTGAAGCCCATGTGCGAATCTGAGTGGATTAACCTCAAGAGACTCCACACCCGCTTCTCCTGAGTGGGGTACATGATGTTTTTCGTTTCTTATGGCTGCAAAGGAGGAATGGCCAGTAAAATCCCTGCAAGCAGCTCTTCAAGTCTGCAGTGCTGCACTGATGCTTGCTGATAATTCTATCTTACCTTTGCTTAAGGAGCAATTATTTCTCTTTTGCTTTCTTTCTCAAGACTTCCAGATTAAAAAAAAAAAAAATGCCGAGGAGATTAGGTAACAAGAAGCTTTAAATGAGCTTAAGGGTCATTTGGCTGCCAACCAAAGCAAATTCAGGCATTGAGTGGTCAGATATACAGTCTACACGAGAATAACATCCATTTCCCTGTGCTCCACACAGGGGTGGGTGAGGGGGACTGGATGGCATCTGGAATTTTGTTTTTATTTCCTAGAAAGGCCAGGATTTGGACACAGATTTAGATGCCAAAGCATGTGCCTATAACCACCAACGTCTCCTGTGCTGCAACACGGGTCTCCCACCTGCCGACAGCATCTCTCTCAAGAATGGAAGCTGGTGCTTGTGAAGCCTCCTCTGGACTGTGCTGGAATCACACCGCCAGGCCCTGAGTCTTCACACTGTCCTCAGTAGGTCTCAGGGTGACCATCCCCATTCTGTGCACACAGGCTTTCTCCACACAAGACACAGCTCAATTGATTAGGTTTCAGTTTACTAATTTGCAATCATTTTCCAGCCCTTCGTTCCCTGAGATTACACATGGATCACCTTGACAGGATTTCTGGGAGTCCATGAGCTCTTCTGTTATACATTCACAAGGAATCTCTTGGTTTGTTTATACACAGGGCAGATCCACCAGTTACATGGTGAATTTTACGAATAAACTTTCAGAGAGCAGCCCTGTTTTGGGAAGAAGGAACTTCAGTGCTGTTTCCTTACTCCACTCAAAGTCTGGTGGTTGAATGAACTTTGTGCTTGCATGGTATTACTTCTGTTATGTTTTTGTTCATTGCATACATGCATATATACTTTTCTTCTTTTCCCTTTAGTTTTTTTATTTCCAACTTTTAATTTCAGGGGTACATGTGTAAGATGTGCAAGTTTATTACATAGGTAAATGTTGCCATGGTGGTTTGCTGCACAGATCATCCCATCACTTAGTTATTAAGCCCAGCATTCATCAGCTATTCTTCCTGTTGCTGTCCCTCCTCCCACACCCAACCTCCCACAGGCCCCAGTGTGTGTTGTACCCCAGCCCGATGTGTTCATGTGTTCTCATCAGTTGGCTGCCACTTATAAGTGAGAAGATGCAGTATTTAGTTTCCTCCTCCTGTGTTAATTTACTGAGAATAATGGCTTTCAGCTCCATCTATGTCCCTGCAAAGCACATGATCTCATTCCTTTTTATGACTGCATAGTATTCCATGGTGTATATGTACCACATTTTCTTTATCCAGTCTATCATCGATGGACACTTGGGTTGATTCCATGCCTTTGCTATTGACAATAGTGCTGCA